AGATAAGATGAGAAGTTTTTTCTCGTACCATTCCTTTATACTCCTTTATATCCATTACAGTACTTGTGGAAACCCCTTTTTCAATCAGCTTCATGTCAATTTCAAGATGCTACAGAGAAACATGACGTCGTTACCTCTGCCAAGCTAGTTACCTTTTCACCTATATGTTTGTTTGTCAACAAGATGACACAAACACTAGGCTATCGAACCTTGGAACGATGGGACGTAGGGGGAGAAGAACCCAATAAATTTTGGCCAGATTGCGAAACCATGGAATCATTTATCACTTTACGTAACATTGCGAGATCTGGCCTTTATTTCTTCAACATTTTACCAATTTCCAAGGGAATAATTCATGGATCTTGATGAAAGAATCTGAGATATTTTGGTGATCACAATAAAACTCTGGATCTCTGGGATTTAAATGTGGTGTCATATGGGGGTATGTTTATTTCCAGCCGCTGTAGGATAACAAATACAACAACGATCTGTAGCCACCACTAATGTGTAGCTGAGATGACATAATGTGGCATTAGCATTGAATTTAAGGGGACTGTTGGGCCTTTGCAGAGGTGTAATGTCACTCTAGTTATTGCATATAAATTCAAGGCAGGCATGAAGTCGTCTTCATCGGGACAGGCCTGATGAGAGAATCATAGATTATTTCATTTTACAAACCTCAAATTGTTTGCATGTAATTCAACACAATGTCCCTCTGCAGTAAGTGTCTGAATCTGAGGGTTATGATAGAGAACAAGCTCATGATTTATTGTTTATTTCTTGATGAACACCAGTTTGATTAGTATCCTCTTTGGTGTATTTCTCTTTAACGCTGTTGCTGTGATTTACTGCAGTTATTTCTCAATCGTTCTCTATTCAGAATACAATTTAAAAAACTGTGTATTGTGTAAAAACATCCATGCTGATGGTTCCCGGAAAACATCTTCTGCCATTTCTTTCTTTCAGACTGTGAGATAGTTCATTATGTGTCCTGAATGGACACTGAGACACACAGATCATTGTTTTATTACTACAAAAGGAGACAATTTGAATCTTTGTGCAACTTACCAATTTGTGGAAAGAGCTCATGGCACCGTACCATGCGTTATTCTGTCTTTATCGCAAACTCAAGGGTGAGAGTATAACGTAGAGTTCTGTGTCTTGAGTAGAACCACAGTAATTCAACCAAACTTGTGTGTTGCAAAGAAAACATTCAGGTATTTTTAAAGGCTGAGCCCTGCACGGTGATCAATGTCCAAATACAGCCCAGAAAACAACAAGGTCTCATCTTGCTGTCAGCCGTGTGGCAGTGTGATTATGAAAACCAACTGTGAGGACTTTTTAGGTCAAGAATGCAGCCGCCTCTGGAAGAAAGCGTGATGGTCAACATGTGTTCGGACTCAAAAGAAAAAAAAAGACGAAGAAGCAGCGTGGAAAACAGTTCAAAGCCGAAACTTTAGAAGTTCTTCAGCAGTGCCTCCAGCATGACAATAACTTACAGATCACACTGGACGTAACTCTTCGTTTTATGAATCCTGATCCACACCACATGTCCCATATCTGTCTTGTGACACTTAACACTCTCTGTTTCTGTTTCTGTCACACATGCATGAAATACATATGACGGAATTAATCAATTCGTTAATGACGGGACTTTTAAGGCACAAAAGTGGCAAGCTCAATGATGAAATTGAATTAGATTTACTTCATCAGTTCACTAATGGACCAAGAAATGCATCAAATCACAGTGAGCCACACTCAGTTCCTCTTTTATTGCAAGTCTGCCCTCTGCTGGTTTTCAATCCACGAGAGCTGCAACTGAATTTTTGTAGTTTCCTCCAACTTAAATTCAGTGTTTACAAGAGTATGCTGATAATTTGATGACTTTCTGGCCCTTGTGAATTGTTTTAAAAAAGACATATGATGATTATAACACATCTAATTTTCTCACTTCTTTCCAGACAAACGGTTCACCCCCTCCCTTCTGAGGTGAGCAGCTGCGGATCCTCTACTGACGCTCTGGTGTTTAAACTCCCTGAGAAGAATCAGCTGTCTGCTTGTTTAGGCTGAGGATAAGAGTGACTTTGATGGAAGAAGGCCGGCTCTGCTCAGTGCATTACTCTGCCATCACTTCCAACATGCTGTTCAGCGAAGAGGGATGTCTGTCAGGTTTTCCATCTTTAGGAAGTTTCAGATATTACAAAGCTCTCTGTTGTGTTCTTTCTTCTTTCTTCTATTCTAGCCCTGGAGTATAAACCAAGCTAGAGCTGAAACAAAGGGCAATTTGAGAAAATGCTTAGTTATTCTAAAAAGTTATTATTCCGCATTACACTGTCTCAGCTTCTTAATTGTGAAGATATGCTGCATGTCATTGTCTCGTGTGATTTAAAAGTTACAGTTTTGAAAACTTGTTGGGCGAAATTAGCATTTTAAAAAAACGTGATTTCATCTGAAGCAAAACCGATTTTTTAATTCTTTTTAAAGACAGATTAACTTTTCTATTCAAAGTGATTCATAATGAAATCCTTGGTTTGTTGCCACCGTTGACTGTGTATAAACATGGATGACAATTCTCAACGCCTTCCCACTATCCAGAAATGAAGCCAAAATATCTCAGATACAAACGCTGCCATCTTGCACATTTAGAGCCAGAGACAGTAGCGAAAAGGGGACGGAGCTACAGCAGTGAGGTCTTACCAACACACACACTCATTGGTGTGATACGAACTATCCAAACTGACAGAAACCATCCACGGTCTGTGTCCCATTCGCTTACATGGAGGAAGCAGGATTTATGACCTGTACTGCAGCCAACCACCAGGGGGCAATCAAGATGCTTTGGCTGTACTTTTGGGAAGCAGTGGTGTCCTACATCTTTACATAGAAGGTTTTTGTAGCTTAACCTGGATTCTTTTTGGGGGGGGGGGGGGGCTTTAAATGTGGCAACGTCTGGGTAAAAACAATCAGATAAATATTTGTATGAAAATACAACTGTCATTAATTAATTTACTTGTATCTGGAAGTTTATCTGTTGTTCACTGTGTCCAAGTCCTGACGTGTCTCTCCAGCTTATCCTCAAGATACTTTATTCTTTGACAGATTTACAATGCGTCATTATCATACAACTGCAATGATGCTCAGAGTTTCTGTAAAGCGTCAGTCCAGCGTGTCACTGTGAATAAAGATTTGTCCCTGAATGACTTGCCTGGATAAATAAATAAATATGAAATAAACACCAGATCATGGGTTACTAATAATACCCAAAGGGAACGTTTGAATGTGTTTGATCAGTCCTTCAGTGCAGCACTATGTGTACCAACTGGGCTCTCTCTCTGTGAATTGTCCCTTTGTTGGCACAGTGCTGACGTTATGTTTTAATGAAGGAAGGAGATGATGAGGAGGGGGAGCGTTTACATTCATGGCTCCCAAAGAGCGCATCACTGCAGCATATTATTACATAAAGCAATTAGGGGGCCCCTCAGCCCCCAGATTATGGGGGATGCTTTCCCCGTGACTATTGACTCCAGTCGGCTCAGAGTATGTTGCATGTTTGCAATGATGTCATTGCACAAACCCCAGTGGGAAACTCTCATGAAATGTTCTGCAGAGGATTATACGTTGAGAGGACGTAGGGGAAAAATAACAGCAACGGGAGAAGGACTGTGGAGTGTTCTCCATAATAATAATTCTATATAATAAGGTTTAAGTGACTATTAACCATATGTTTATAACAGCAATGTATGAAATGGCAGCGTAAACACCATGTGATAACCTGGAAGGGGTTGAATGTCATCAGTGTTATCATCAGTTATTAGTCTGCAGCTCCTCCTGACTTCACGGCGCCCCCTGCAACAAGTTTCAGTTCATCTTAGTTGTTCAGCTCATAACTTTATAGAACTAACGTTGCTCCAGAGCTGCTGAATGTGTAAATAAGCAACTGTTTGCTAACAAGTTCACCAAAGAGCCTCAATGAGTGGACAGTTCCCTGTAGCTTTGATGACACATTTCCTCTAATTCCAGATTATTAAATACACCTACTAAACACTAGTGCAGTCTAATACGGCAGTCATGAAATAATAGAACACAACACATTCTAATAACTTCCTTCGAGGGCCATGTATAACTAATGAACACATAAATCACACTAACCTTGTGATGCAACTCTTTCGCATGGTATCTGATGTCAGATGGTGCAGATGATGATGCTACTCGCTAATGGTTCTCCAGGTGTTCAGT